AGAGGTGGACTCGAGTACCTACCTCACAACGGTTGAGTTCGTGGGGTATCCCGGGCTACTGCCCTCTTAGATCAATAACAAAAGCCCTTCAGCTGTCCAGCAGCACGATTTGAACCTCTGAAATCAACACTTCATCTAGAGTCTCACAAAAAGATTGCTAATGGAATCCAATTAGAATAAAACTTCTCTTAATGCATATGTGCGTTAATGGTTATAGTTTTGGGATTAAAGAGATAAGAAAGATAGGTGGGCAAGAGAGGAAAGAAAGAACTGAGAGTAGGTTGATGAGAGTTTGGTTTAGAGATGAGAAGAAGAAGAAGAATGAAAGAAGTGAAGGGATGACTAAAAAATTAGGCAGCCTCCCGTCGTAACCTCTCTTAAGAGGTGTTACCGGAAACAAGAAAAAACAATAGGCTCGAAGCCTTAGTACCCAGAGGATTTGGAAAGCGTAGTTACAGGACTGAGCATGTAACTATATCACTAACCCAAAGAGCCTCCTAAAAGTGATCCAGGGAAAAAAGGGTAGAGAGTGAAAGAGACTGAATGAGATGAAAATCTTTCACAGCTTGAATACTATATGACTCGGTAGTTTGAGTAGGGTAACGATTAGAACTCTAAAAAAAGCTAGTTCAGGATGACCCCAACCCAAGCGATCAAGTTCAAGAGAATCAGTGTCTCTTGTGACTCAACAACACTGTACGAGCTGGTAGTTAGAGTAGCAATCTAAGAGTTAAAACTCAAAGGCACTATCTCAAGAAGACCCCAATTGAGTGTTCAATGGTGAAAGAAGTAGTGAGTAAGAGAGAGAGTAAATAAATAATGAAATAAAAACAAAGTAGAATGAGTGAGAAATCAAGATATGGTTTAAAGAGAGAGGGAAGAGATGGAGTGAGAGAGAAAAATAATGAAAAGGGTTAAAAAAGGATGGACCTACCTACGGTAGGGGTCCAGACTCTAGGGTTATTGGTTAGGGTAAGAGAGGGCAAGAAGAGATGAGAGAGAGATGGACCCGCCTATAATGCGAGTCCGGGTTTCTTGTGGGGCAGGTTTGGGTAAGAAAGGGTAAGAGTGTAGAGCAGGGGAGATGGACCCGCCTAAGGTGAGAGTCCGGGCTTCAAAGGATGAGTGTGAAGGGATGAGAGTGTGGACAGAGGAGAGATGGACCCGCCTAAGGTGCGAGTCCGAGGTCTAGACGAGAAGGGGAGAGGGAGGATGAGAGTGAGTGAGAGAGAGATGAACCCACCTATGGTGCAGGTCCATCAATTGATGGGAGAGAGAGAGGGAGAAATAGAGAGGGAGAAGCCAGGCCTACCCTAAGGGCGGGTCTGTGCTCTTTAGACATGTGAGAGAGAGAAAGAAAGAGAGGGTGAGGCTCGGACCTGGCCTGGATCCAAGCGGAGAGAGAAAGAGAGAAGAAGAGAGAAAGAAGAGAGAAAAGAGAGAGAAAGAAGAGAGAGAAAGAGAGAAGAAAGAGAAAGAAGAGAGCGAAAGAGAGAGAGAAAGAAAATTAAGAGAGAGAAGGGAGAGGAGACAGAGTGGACCTAGAATGGCTTGAGCCTAGGTGCACATTCATTGGTCACTTTGCATGCACTTGAAAAAAAAGTCTTGGTCTTTGTGAGTCAAGACAGGTCTAAGGTTTAGGTGGGTTAGGTTGAAGTAAAGTGTAAAGAAATTATGATGTACGGAGTAGGGTCGGGTGTAGGTAGTCTTAGGTCTATGAGGTGCTATGGTATATGAGTAAAACAAAGAGTAAAAAAACTAAGGTGTATAGGATACTATGGTGTATGGAGTTGGGCATAGTGTACAAAAACTAAGGTAGGATGTAGGGTGTATGGAGTAGGATTGGCAGCTAGGATTTCTAGGGTGTATGGGAGTTGGAGTGTATGGGGTAGGATTGGGAGTTGGGAATCCTATGGAAGTTGGAATTTTGGAGTTCTATGGAGTGAAGGGTTCTTAGGGGTATTTTCTCTCTCTAAGAATTGTTTCTCTCTCCTCTCTCCTTGAGTCTTGGGTTTGGAAGTAAACCAAAAGAGCAAGCCTAAGCTCTTAGAATTCTCAAACTCATCTCATTAATTTCTAAAAGTCATAAGAGTCACTCCAAGAAATCATTACAAATGACTTAAGTTACTTACATAGAGCAACCTCAAAACAAGGGTGGATTGCCTAAAATCACTAGAATTGTAAAAAAATACACATTTAATAATCCCCTTCTTAGAATTAAGGAACAAAATACCTCTTAGCAGTTTTCAACAAATGACAAAACCATCCCTCTATGAGGGGCTTCTTACGATTATTAGGCCTCAAGAGCTTTTTCAAAAGTTTATGGTAGCAATTTGAGAGATCAAACGTCATAGAATCGATGCTGAATTGTTACACACGTTTTGATACCCATTGATAATATTGGAACGGAGTTTTAAAGAAGAACCCAAAATCTAACCAAGTCCATAAACTTTGTGATTCTTCGACCACCGATTCGACACAATTTATGATGTTCCGAGACTTCATTTTGATCACAAACTGAAGAAGATACTATCATAAATGTTTTGTGATAAATTTCATCCATTTTGGTCTTTATTTGATTGAGGGATTCCAGCGATCGGAAAAGTATGCCTTCTTCGACCTCAAAATTCGGTGTCATCCGACCTCTGATCGTACACAAAAATTATATCAAACTGAAGCTCTTTGAAGCATGGTCGCAATGGACCCACACTTGCGACGATTCGACATCGAGATCTTGAACTATGACCCCTTAAAGAATGATGTGTTTCTCTTTTTAAAATCTGAATTTTCACTTTTCAAGCCCATCTTCTCTTTAAGAATTCTCTCGTTTCAAGCTACATCATGACGTGTGCCATATTTCAAAACGAGTGTATTTGAAATTCATTCAAAAAATGTGAAAACACCGAGGCTGCATCGCAATAGTGTAAAACCTACCATTTTTTGATAAGTTAGGACCATAATGGTCCCGGAGGGTTCGATTGAGCCAAAATTTGGTACCTGGGTGTTTTTTGATGTTCCGGATCCAAAAGCGATGGTTTGATACTCTATTGATACCTAAAAAATAGGGCTACAGTTATATGATCAATTTTCAGTATGATAGAAACTAGATTTGAAAACTGAATTTCATCCTGATCAACTCAAAACTTGTCAAGGCGTAGCGAAATTTTGTGGGTGTCCTTAGGGTATCCAAAACTACCCTCTCATGCAATTTGAGGCAATCCAATATGAGGCTTATTGCTACAATGTTCTTATTTTCAGCAGCATCTTGAGCACCTCTTATTCACCCCTAGGATAAAAGTACGTCAAAAATGACACATAACACTTATAAATCTAAAATCCTCTATAAAAACAATGTATCTGATTCAATAAACACATCTAAATTTTCATGATCGACTTGAATGATCAAAATTAGAGTTTTTACACATTTCCCTAAAAATCCACGATTTTTTTCGATTTCGATCAAAATCATCTATTTCTTGAGTCAAACTCAAGTTATTTGAATCCTCCACAATAAAAATTGTCTCAATTGTGATAATTAAATGAGTCCTGTATATCTATTTTGGATCCAGTAAAGGCCTCAATTGTTGATGCTACAGTAAGACTGTGGCTCTTTTCCATTTTGATCCACTTTTTATTCTTTTTCAGACAATTATTGGATGGAAAATATTGAAAATCCTTTTTAACACTATTGATTTAATAAATACATCTGTGGACCTTTAGAATCGATCTAGCGCTCGAAATTGGAGGTTTTTTTTCACGTTTTCTAAAAAATCTGCCATTCTTCAATTTCAATCAAAATCTTCTGTCTTGGTTCAAATTGAAGATATTTGAATCCTCTACAAAATAATTGTGTCAATTTTCTTGATTAAACGAGTCTTGTATATCAAATTGAGATCAAAAGATAAGGTTGCTGAAACATTAAAAACAAAAAAAACAAAAATTTGATCAATCGAATCAAACAATTTTAAAAAGAAAAAATTGTTTTCGGGTAATAAGCGTTGGATCTTAATGTCCACCAAATAAACTATCCACATTGATTGTCAGAAAGGACTTAATTTAAACAAGCGTTGGATCTCAATGTCCGCCAAATAAACTATCCCCATTCATTGTCAGAAAGGGATTTATTTTAACCTTTTATGGGATGCAAATTCAACGAACGCCACAAATTTTCTAAAATAACAGTCTCATTATGAAACGGTGATATGAAATCACTTCCCTGTTTCCTACAATAATTTACCCAAATAATAGATTAAAATTTGACAAACTTGATAAAAATTTGACTAACTTTACTTACTACAATAAAATCAGCTTCTCTGACTAACCAAAATCAATTAAAAAAAAAATGATATGATTCATATTGGCCCCTACTATACATTATTTTAGACAAGATGGGGTAAGGCCCTGATCGACAGTTTGACTGGTCTGTCCGGTCTTCACATCCATGCTCTAGACATTATTACTTGGAAATCTTCACAGCATTTTAATCAGCTGTGAACAATATTCTAATTAGCTCCATTATCATTTACTCAAAAAACAAATGTGGTCCAAAACCATCAATCTACTTCAATACATATACAACTCCCCCTCTCTCTCTCTCCTCACAAACTACCAGCAAGCCTTCAACCTCATGCTTTTATACTACACATCCCAATGACCAAAACCAACAAAATCTTAAAATCTCGATGACCAAATCCGACAATCCTAAATGATACTCCACAAAATCTTAAATGGGGTATATAGCATGCTGCCGCGTGGCGTATATTTCACAACTCCGCGAAGGATTTTTTCTATCTGAAAGTTTAGGGACCATCTAGTATCACTAGATTATCTTTCAATTAAAAAAAATAAATTTTGAACTCTTCAACGCCCAGGTCTCTCCCTCAAAAATTGGATTGTTCTAGTTCAATCTTAATACATCATTATTGTTTTAGGCACATAGAGAGCGCGAGCTAATTTTTTTTTTCTTTGACGTTGATCACGCAGTGATAGAAATTCCGTCCCCAAAAATTGAGATCTAGTAAATATCCAGAGCTTGAGTTTTGGCAGAGGGAGCAAATGGATAGTATGCTCCTGCAGAAGCAATAAATTGTTTCACAATTTTTAATGGCGAAGCAGCTGCTAAATTTTAAACGCATGGCATAAGATAGATGCAATGGGCAAACAAACAATAGCAACATACAAAGTGAAGAAAAAGGGAACTTTACCACTACAAAACACAAACAGAGTAACCAACTAATTCAGCCTCACCATGGAGCAGAGAAATAAGTGACAACCAAGCCAAAAGGGGCGAGAGGAACCGCCAGAAAGACGATCAATAGTCTTCACCTTCATCCACATCATCAGTACCCTCAGCACCGACTTCCTCGTAATCCTTCTCTAATGCCGCGAGATCCTCACGAGCTTCTGAGAACTCACCTTCCTCCATTCCTTCGCCAACATACCAGTGTACAAAGGCCCTCTTTGAGTACATGAGATCGAACTTGTGGTCGATGCGAGAGAACACCTCGGCCACTGCTGTGTTGTTGCTGATCATGCAAACTGCACGCTGCACCTTGGCGAGATCACCACCAGGAACGACAGTTGGGGGCTGATAATTTATGCCACACTTGAAACCAGTAGGGCACCTAAAAGACATGTAACATTGTTCAAAATCTCTTTTTCATTTGATTTTAAGTATTTCTAAGATAATACAAGACCAACTCATTCTTATTGACATGTGCTCCACAATTCCAATTTCTCACAACAATGTCCAGTGTTAACAATGAGAAGGATTACTATAATGGATTACAGAAACTATGGTGTGTACGATGGAAAATCATGGCGCATTGGGGTCATCACCAACGATCTGGTGTAGTGATCACCCAATGGACCATAATTCACACAAAGAATTTGTGTACAGTTGCTTTCCATGCACAATAGGTATTTAAGTTGGAAATTTATGGATCAGAGTAGTACTGCCCCAAAACTAGCACTGCCCCTTTCTCTGTTGGGCAGGGGTAGCTTCTCTTCACTAGCTTGGATACATGCCCTCAAAACTAGCACTGCCCCTTTCTGTAGAATGTTTATGCATGTCACACACCATCTGATCCTCAAATCAGATGATGATCAAAACAATTTCAATTTGATGATCATACATATCAAAACTGATCCAATAACCACTACGCTAGTTCCGCCGATCCAAAATCAGTGAGACTCATTATCCCTACCAGACTATCAAGACTATCCATGTTTCTTTTCTCCTTTTCTTGGGGCTAGTTCAAATTCAGTTACTACAATTTCTAATCTCCATTAACAGTACTTGAGTGAGTACTGTAGTGAGTATGTGCAATGCCAGCCCGAGAAAGTGCACAGCGTAGGTACATGAGAACACCTTCACTACTAGCCAAGTCGGAGTAACTCAGGCTGAGTTTTATAATGCTGGTTGTTTCAGACAAAATCGAGGCAACATCAAGTCAAAGATGTTCTATGCTTTGTTAGAAACGAATCGGGCTTATTATTCTATAGACCAAAGCCTAATGAAAACCAAATATAGATAGTAATCAGAGACAGTACTAGAATGCTAACCAGTCAACAAACTGAACAGTCCTCTTGGTCTTGATGGTTGCAACTGCAGCATTAACATCCTTGGGGACGACATCTCCACGGTACATCAAACAGCATGCCATGTACTTACCATGCCTTGGATCACATTTCGCCATCATGCTCGAGGGTTCAAATACTGCATTTGTGATCTCAGGAACTGACAATTGTTCATGGTAGGCCTTCTCAGCAGAAATAACTGGGGCGTATGAGGAAAGCATGAAATGGATTCGGGGATAAGGCACAAGATTGGTCTGAAACTCTGTAACATCAACATTGATTGCCCCATCGAACCTAAGAGACGTGGTCAGGGAGGATATGATCTGAGATATTAACCGGTTAAGGTTTGTGTAGGTGGGCCTCTCGATGTCAAGGGATCGCCTGCAGATATCATAAATTGCCTCATTGTCCAAAAGGACCGCAACATCTGTGTGTTCCAAGAGGGAATGCGTGGAAAGAACACTGTTATAGGGCTCTACAACTGCCGTTGAAACCTGTAAACCAGCCAAAATACATTTTGCCATAAATTAACAAGTACCATGCAGAGAAACTTCTTCCCTCAATAAGTATAGCAGAGTCAGATTGTTGAGTTGCACTACATGCAATTTTATATAATTCAAGTCCTACACTGGAATTGTTATTTGTAATAGAGCATATTTTCTATTTTGAAAGCTAATAATAGGCTCTCCCTAGGCAATATTCAAAACTGCAGATATCAGGCGCCTGGCTGCCCGCCCTGGGACAGGGTACCCTCACAATCCTCAAAAAAATTGAAACAACCCCCCCCCCCCCCCCTTGATATGAGTTTTAAACGAATATATAAGATTAAGATGTTACCATGTTAGTTTTACAATAAGACTCTACTCATTAAGATATCATTTAACGAAACATGGCACATTGTACCTGCCCGACCAAGGAGAGGGTACAATGTATCCCCCCCCCCACCCCCCCCCCCCCTCATTTTGAGTTTTAAATAAATATATAAGATTAAGATGTTACCATGTTAATTTTACACGTTACCATGTTAGTTTTACATGTTACCATGTTAAGATTAAGATGTTACCATGTTAATTTTACATGTTACCATGTTAGTTTTACATGTTACCATGTTAAGATTAAGATGTTACCATGTTAATTTTACATGTTACCATTTTACATGTTACCATGTTACAATGTTACCATTTTACATGTTAAGATGTTAAGATTAAGATGTTACCATGTTTATTTTACATTTTACCATGTTAGTTTTAAATAAATATATAAGATTAAGATGTTACCATGTTAGTTTTACAAGAAGACTTTACTCATTAAGATATCATATATGACACATTGTACAAAAAAAGAATAAACTATTCATAAAAGACTATAATATATGCTCAATTTCATCGTCCAAATGAGAAAAAAAATCAGTCTTTTACCTACAAACATGTAAATACATCGTAAGAGAATAAAAAAGTAAAAGAAAATATACATGATCCACAACATAATATATTGTAGCAAAATAAAATAGAAACCCTCTTTCAAATATGTTAATACTTTAAAGATATCAAAATCAAATCGATGTCGGTGCAAACCTCATATATTGGGTCGCCAAAAGTTCTCAAAATCAACTACTAGAAGCTCCAAATCCATGTGCTGCTTTTCTTTTGGGAAGAAATTAAAAAAATAGTGGTTTTGGGGGGATTTTCTCACCCCGAAGGCCACGGTTTTTGTTTCGAGGGTTTAGAATACCCCCCAAAATCCTTTTCCTCCCTAAAAAATTAAATTTTTTGACCCTCACCGAGGTTTTTTTTCTGCCTATCCACAAAGTGTCACAGGGTGGGGACGAGGCAGGCGCCCAGACAGTAGCGCCTAGGCAGCGCCTTGCCTGCCAAGGTGGCCGCCCAGAGATAGGGCGCATAATGACCCCACTTAGACAGAGCCTAGGCATTTTTTGAATTATTTTGCCTATGTGGTCGGGCGGCCGAATTTTCGAACAGTGACCCAAGAGTATTCCATATTAAGATACAAAATTTTCTGTTAGATAGTGTATTTCTATCTGCACAGGGGGCATTTCTGTAAATCACCTTTTTATAAAGGTCCATCTGTAATTCTCCTAGGTACTTTAGCATCCATAAATGAAAACCCTACATTTTATCATTATTTACATTCCTGAAAGGCATATAAATTCAGATAATCACTATTAAGCACAAAAAGTCTAAAATCATATTGAACTGCAAGGGTTTGTGGAAGCGATGTATTCAAAGATGCAAACAGTAGAGAACAAGGAAATGCATAATCAGGTAGCGTTCCCATTCATTAACTACAAAACAAATAATCAAATACATTGATTGATGAATTCCTTACCTGAGGAGAAGGATAAATAGTGAACCCGAGCTTAGATTTTTTCCCATAATCGACAGAAAGCCTTTCCAACAATAGAGAGCCCAAGCCAGATCCAGTACCACCACCGACAGCATTGAAGACCAAGAACCCTTGCAAACCAGTGCAGTTATCTGCTAATTTCCTCACTCGATCAAGGCACAAATCCACAATCTCCTTACCCACTGCACCAAATAACCAAAACCAAACCTAAGACAACAAATAAAGGTATATAATATCTTAAAATGGAAGCTATGTGCAGTACATACTCCTTAACTAAATAATGGGACAAATTTTATTCTACTTTTTATAAAAGACAAGGCACCGTTCTTACCAGTGTAATGTCCCCTGGCAAAATTATTGGCTGCGTCCTCTTTGCCGGAAATGAGCTGCTCAGGGTGAAAGAGCTGGCGGTAAGTCCCAGTTCTCACTTCATCGATAACAGTGGGTTCAAGATCTACAAATATAGCACGTGGGACGTGCTTCCCAGCACCTGTCTCACTGAAAAAGGTATTGAAAGCATCGTGTGCAACCCCAATAGAATTATCACTGCACAAAAAATTCCAATCCATCAAAGCTTGAGTTCAAGTTTGTGCTTAAAAAGATCAACCTTTTTGTCCTGGGAAACTTTCAAAAGAATAAAACAAAAAATAACAGAGTTTTGATTAAAGTAACTACCAGAAAACAACAAAATTTTGCCATTACTCTAGGATCCTTAAAAGTTACTAGTGTCCATGAAATATGACCACAACCATGACAATTTGGTCCAAGTTGAGAAATTTTATTTCAAGACCTCATCCAAAGAAGATAAGGTGTCAACATCAGGCTTACCAAACATAAAACCAAAAAAAAAAAAGAAAAATAAGGAAAAAAGGCAGATTCTTACATGCATACATTTGAGAAAACACCAAATTGGATCGTAAGAACAAGTTATAACAACCCTAAAACATTTCTATTGAAAATAAAATCAGAACAAAAATTTTTTTAAAAAAATCACGGACACTTAGCAATCAATCAAGCTGAAACAAGCAAGAAAAGGAAAAATAAAGTAATATACGGTAGAAATTCATCCAGATTTCACTAAAACTATGCTATTTTTTGGGAAAATTCAGCATATTAAAGTAGAGAAATCTCATTGAAAAGACTTTGGTTAAATTAGTGAAATGCTACTCAATTTTTGTGGTAAAAAAACTGAATATTATAATAGAAGTCAGTAGCCAACAAAATTTAAAATTATACCAATTGCTGCCTCATAGAAAGAGTACTAACAGAAAGTAACACCCTAAATAAGCCACAGGGATGAGAAATAAGTTATCAAAGCCTTGGGACTCAAAACTCCTCACAGATCACACAACCAGCCGCTTCAAAAGCATAAATTCCATGAAAAACAAAGCCTCTTTACCTCTATAAATAAACAATAGCATAAGTTATACGAGATAATCACATGACAAACACTAAATCCTCATGACTCAAGAGAAACATTAAAAATCAGTACTGAGCAAGAAACAGGAACATCCATGCTTTTAATCAGTGCAAAATCTCACACAAAATGATAATTCATCAGTTAAAAAAGAAATTTAAAAATAAAAATTACATCTTACAGGGAAAAAAGAATCATTAAAACTAAAAATTCATAGATCAACTCAGAGAAAAGTAAATAAATCACGGAAATGCATCCCAACTTGAAGGAAGAACCCCATGCACAGCAATCCACAAGTTTTAAGCAAAGAGATAAAAGCAAAAAGGTAATAAATAGTTCACAAACCCCAATTCTTGTTTTTATTATCAAACATTACAGATCCCACTTAAAATTGCCAACAAGAACAGCAAACAACAACAATAATATATGACTTCAGGAAAAGCACGAGCACTCCACACAAATTCACCTTGAAAATTGACCAAATTCCTTGAATTTTTGTTTCAGATCAACGATTTATCACCTCAACTCCATGGAATAATAGTGAAATCAAGAAAATAAAGCATTCGTCAAAGAGAAAAAAACAAAAAGGCAATAAATAGTTCATAAACCCCAATTCGTTCTTTTTTATCAAACATTACAGATCCCACTTAAAATTGTCAACAAGAACAGCAAACAACAACAATAATATTTGAATTCAGCAAAAGCAGGACCACTCCACTCAAACTCACCTTAAAAATTGACCACATTCCTTCAAATTTTGTTGCAGATCTACAATTTATCACCTAAATTCCATGGAATAATAGTAAAATCAAGAAAATAAAGCATTCATCAAGGAGTAACATGACTAACTCCTGTCAAAATAAAAATGTAAAATCCTTCAAAAGTTAAAAAAAAATCAGAGCAGTTTCATCTGATTTGAACCCTAAATAAACTTAAAACCGACAAAATAAAAATAAATACCTTCAAAATCACTGCATTCCAATCAAAAAGAAAAGAAAAAGAGAAGAAGAGAAGATCTATAGCAGAGAAGAAGAGAAGATCTATAACAAACCTAGGCATGATCCCATCAGGCTGAATCCCATGCTCGAGACAGTAAAGCTCCCAACACGAATTCCCCACTTGAATCCCCGCCTGCCCTATGTGGATGCTAATGATTTCCCTCATTTAGTCTCTCTACGCTCTTCCTCTCTCTAGCTTTGGCCTCCTCTCTCTAGGGTTAGGAACTGCTCCGATGAATCTCTCTCTCTCAGAGAAAGAAAAGAGCGTATGAAATGGAAAATCAGGACGTGGTGATATTATTAAGGGGAAATCATAAATGAGTTGGGTTCCGGTGGGCCCCCTGTATTGGCGCCAACCGGGTAAGTGGACCCGGAGTCGGCCAACCTGTCGCTTTCTGACAACCCTCTGTATGCGGTGGCACTCAACTTTTTCACCTCCTCACAATATTACGTCGGAAATTGTTTTTATAGGTCTGCAACCCTATTAAAGCCTCATTTAAAAATTTTCAAGAAAATGTTTCAATAGGTATGCAACCCATATCAAAATAAGTGAAACATCTCCAAAACTAACGAATCTGGTTCGAAAAACTTTCAAATCGATCATCTGGGCTTTGGATCATTATGCTTTGTCAAAATAAATTCAAATTTTAAAAATAATACATATAACACATTATCTTGACCGTCTATTTCACTCGAAAAATAAATATCACGGAAACCATTTTTTGAGCATGCATTGAAAACTGGTGTTAAAACTATAAAGACGATTTTCAATGCTCAAACTCCTTTCCCAAAAGAGGATTCAAGGTGAGGCTACTTTACTTTTGTATAGCCTAGGCCCTATGGAAATTGCATCTTACCGTGTATGCTGTCTCATACCTATTAGTGGGCGGCTCTCCTTTTCCCTGGTCTCCATCAATCGAGTTGTTCATCCTGCTGGACGGTGAGAAGTGAAGTGGGCCCGTAAATATTGAGGCGTGCATTTTTTAAAATATCTAGTTTGTTGTTTTGCGTGTTCCCAAAATTATCCGGAAATTAATTGGGGATCCTGGAGGAAAAGCGTCGGTGTTTAAAAAAACGTCGGGTCCACTCAAAAATCGCCATAAAGGGATCGTATAAGCTAAAGAAATGGGAATCGTCCGGTTTTACACAGTAATTCGTCGATTCACTGTAAGGAATCGGCGAGTCCGTGAAGAACACGGGTTACACAATATTTTTCACGGGATTCTTCAAAATTTGTCATTTTTTATCATTGTTTTTATTTTTTTTGACATGTGATCTAATTTACAGACTGTAAACATCTTTATTCAGCTTTTACAATGATTAAATGGTTGAAAAATTTGGTGTTTTTGGATCACGAAACTTGCATTTTTAGGGTTTCCGCCTTTCCTTGTGTTTCATACCAAATAGGGCATGAATCTTTCAAAATTTGTAGGCATTTTGATTGTAAAGTTGTGCATCAAAACCTTTTGTTACTAATTTGTAATAATCGTTGAGAAAAACAGAGTTTTTTGGAGATTGAAGGTTTCGGTTCACAAAATCAAGTAAGAAGTTTGGGTTTTTTTTTTTTTCCGCCATATGATTTATTTCACGACATATTTTGAACATAATGAATTCAATAATTAGGGTTTTTAATCTTTATTATGTCTATTATGATTTAAAATTTTCAATTTTATGTAATCTGGTCAATTACAGTATAAAATTTGAGATGAACACACAGATGTCTGTGGAACCAAAATTCCGCTGTTTTTTTTTTTTTTTCCGCCTTTTGATTTTTTTTTCATGATATATTAGAAATAATGTGTTAAAAATTTAGGGTTTTGATTCCTTATATTATTGTTTATTAGAAAATGTACTCAATTGGATGTAATTTATTTACTTAGAGGTGGATTTTTTAGTTAAAATGGCTTATATAAAATGCCTCTGTGAAGAACATAATTTTTTTTTTTTTTTTTTTGTAATCCATGATCGAATGTTTTGTAATACTTGATCGAATTTTTTATAATCCATGATCGAATTGTTTTTTTTTTTTTGTAATCCATGATCGAATTTTTTGTTCTTTTTTTTTTTTGTAACCCATGATAGAATTTTTTGCAACCCATGATCGAATTTTTTGTAATCCATGATCAAAATGTTTGTTTTTTTTCTTGTAATCCATGATCGAATTTTTTTTTGTAACCCATGATAGAATTTTTTGTAATCCATGATCGAATGTTTTGTAATCCATGATCGAAATG